AAAAAAAAAAAAAAAGAATGTTAATGCTTCATTATACAGATATCCAAAACATTTTATTTGATTATGATCAAGACTATGGGGGTGATGGGGGTTATTAAGTTAACCTCAAATTGATAGCCCATTTTAATTTGTTCTTTTGAAAAGGGCAAGCATGTAGAAAAGTACCACTCTTGCGAGATCAGGCAAACAGCCACATTCGTGTCCTCCAGCTCGAACAGGACATATCCTTTCACATGCATCTCTGAAAGCTTTTTTCCATAGTTCCAGAGAAAGATTTCCTTGCTGTTCATCAGTGGAACTCGAAGTTCTTCGGTATAACTTGCTAGATTCAGAACCCAAACTGCTACGGATTTCATTGGCATTACCCGACTGCATGTGTGGAGTAAAAGTCTAGAGGAAAGGAAAAATGAACTTATCTTTATTCCATTCAAGTTTTTGCCAATGAAATAAGAAAAGAAGTCAAGTATTGGTTCAGTCTAAATATTTGCAGCCATGTTCAAATAACAAAACCCTTTGCCATTCATTTATGGTACACTATAGCAACTTCAATTAACTGGATATCCATCATGAAAAAACAAGGCCTACATGTCTAAATTAATTTTTTCCCTTTTTTTTCCGTTCTACTTTTTTTTAGTGTGTATTTCATTTGGCTGGTGGACCTTGATAGTGGTTTCTGTAATCATCTCTTCAAAACAGACATTGTTAAACGTAATAAAAATTGTTCAGAAAACACAAACGTCAGCCCAAGCAGTTTAAGAAATAGTGGGAAAAAGGAATACCTGCCACCATATAGACTCAATGATCCGGGAAAATACCCAAGACTCAACCTTTTCAAGTGCAGCAACAAAAGTGGCCGGGTTTTCCCAGTCACCAAAACTGTCCTCAATAGCATTTCTTGAATTCTTATTGGGAAAGGACTCCCATTTAAGTGGTGATGCTTTCTTCTTTCTGTTGGACTCACCTGAAGTTCCGTTGACTGGCACAACAGAAATACGCAACTTGCCATCTCCAAATGACTTGCTCATAATCACTCTCAATACAACTGAATTTGAGAGCCAGAAGGTCAATCTGTAACATAACAAAAGGCGATATAACTTGCAAAGAAATTAAAGGAAAGACTTAACGAGACCTTATTTCGAATCCAAATTTTAATCCTAAAAGAAAATGCTCATAAGATCCTCACATTTATTTACGAACCTTCTAATTTTTATAAAAGAGATTAAGAAAAATAAACAGGAATTTTTAAAAGTAGAATGATGGCGCACAACCATACCTAGGGACATCATTTCCACATGCTTTCGAAACTAAAACCAGACCAGACACAATACTTTTAGCCGTACTCCCTATCCTTGCTTTTAAATTTTGTTTGCTTGCATGAAAATATAGCCTCGAGAGCCGCCGAGCTGGAGCATGGACTTTATTGATAGAACTTCCATGTTCGGCAATCACTGAGTAAAGGCTAACCTCTATACCAGCAGCCTCCCTCAACTCCGCCTCTAGCATTTTCATTCTATTCTCCAACTGCTCGATCCTAGTCTCGGAAACAACATTTTTAGGTTCCTTTACGTACATTTTAGAATCTTTACTCTCACTGTTCAATAATAACTGGCTGTTTCTAACCGATCCATTACTCCTGCTTGAGTCCACGGATGATCGAACTGACTTGACATGCTTAGATCTATCAATACTCAACAATGTACCATTCACAACAATTTTTTCCTCAGGATCATTATCTGATGTGCCTTGCTTTAGGACATCAACTTGAGAAAAGTCGCTCGACGGTTCATCCTCGGCTTTTGTGCACTTGTGATGTTTTTCACTTGTCTCATCATCACTGGGGTCGTTAGAAAGATCTTTCATGCCATTACTTGGAACATTTTCCTGAATTTTGTCTGCTTCATTTTCACTAAAGCTCTGTGGCTTATTGTCTATTGCTGATGTCGGCAAATTTGTGGAAGAAATTTTATTCGAGATCCATGAAAGATCAGAAGATAAATCCACGGATGATGACCGAGAAGAACTGACATGAGATTTGATCATTTGATCCTCATCTGATTTGGGTTCCCCAGCACTACCGTTCATCCCATCCTGCAATTAAGTACCAAAACATCATTCAATCATCACAAGATCATTCGTATGACAATGACACCAAGACCAAACACATACCAGCAGCATGCATTTAGGAGTGATTTACCAATAAAATAATTGTCTCTTTAATCGTCTAGATATTTTATCAAGAATGAAAATCCAGTTTTGGATTCTGCAAATTCAAATCAAAACCTAAAGTAGGGTGAGAGTATTAAGAGTGTTGGTTGCTCTCAACTACTACTGTAAGTTCTTCCCTAATTTCTCTAACATTCAGAATTACCAATTATGTTTAACCATCTTACTTAAAACAAATCATCACAACAAATAAAAAGCTCAAAACACATTTGTAATTTTTTCAAACAACTTTCACACTACAAGTCCAAAATCTCAAAGAACCAAAAACAATGCCACAAACAACCAAAGCGCTGATATTTCATATTCCAACCAAAACAGACTTCTAACCTCATTATTCTGAGACAACAAACTCCCATTCGCATTCGCATCTCCACCTGCCAAAGTAACACCAACAGACGAATGAGACGAAATATCATCGTCCGTTCCAAAAGACGCCACCTCAACTTCATCTACATATTCTTCCAAGGTACTCCTATCCAAAGATGCTTCTCTCACCAATCCATCCTTAGAAGACGAGCTCGCTCGACCCCTCTCGACAGACTGGATCTTAACAAAGAGAAGTGGCTGTGATGAATTCCAGTACGTCCTCTTGCAATTTATAGGAACACTTAAACACAAACTGTCTCTAACAACCCCGTATTCTGCTAAGTCTAGAACAGCAGTCCCAATAAGTTGGCCTTTGACCGTTTTGTCCCTCCGGGGCTCGTACAGGTTAAACTCGACACAGTTTTTCTGGAAACTGTCGCCATTCACGCCTTTCATGGACATTTCTCTCACTAGAGTCACCGGGAGCTTAAAAGACTCGTTGAATTCGATTTTCCCATCACCAATTCCCGAGCCCGTCTCGACTGAAGGGACAACTTGATTGGTGAACCCGGATTTTCGTTCGCCGTGTTCCCATTGGATTAGGGCGGCTCGGATTGTCTTGAGCGACTGAGATGGGGGCCATGGCTTTATTTCATGAATGTGGATAGTGTAATCGAGCTGTAGTGAAGGGGTCTTCCTAGTTTTCGTCCTCGGGCCTTGAACCATTGTAACATTAGGAGTGAACACTTGCCGTTCAAACCAAATGTGCGCTGAAGAACACGAGCAAACAAATGTAAAAGAATTCTTAATTAAAAAAAAAAACAAAAAAGTGATAATTTAACAAGAGATTTTCGTATGAACACAATTTACGTCTCAAGAAGAAGAAAGAACAAGCACATTCAATAAAGAGTTCACCAGTAACAATCAATATCCCTCCATTGACTCAAGGCACACGTTACTATGCTGTAATAAATGGCACAAAATGCGTGTTCAATCTCAGAATTCAGAAAACAAGCTTTTAAGAGACACACACACACACACACACACACACACACACACACACACACAGACTTCTTGAACACAATTATTAAGCACATAAAATCCAACTAAAGCGCAAACGAGATTCTAACAAGCACCCAAAACACAAGCTCAATTATTAACACATAAATTGTTGTTATACAAGATTAATGCTTTACTTCAAGAGAAGCTCAACTAATGCCTACAACATTGAAAAAAAGCCTATAAAACATTTAAACTGAAAAAAAAAAAAATACATAAAAAGAAAAAGGGCAGCTAGTAAAAGATCAACCCACTAAACAGATCTAAGCACCACTTAATAAAATCAGCTCAGATTACAACCTCAGCGGTTACCAGAAAACTACAATGCAGCATTCATTCAAAAAGAAAAAGGGAAAATGAAGAACAGATTTCATGGTAAAAATAGAAGGCGAAGCTGAGTATTGAGTATTAACATTAGGTGTAAATTCAAGAAAAGGTAAATGAAGGGTAAAAGATAAGTAGGAACATATATGAAGACTTACAGAGGAAAATCAGAACACAATGTCGAGGCAGAGCAAATGGTGCTTTTTGCAACTGATGATGCTTACTGCTTAGCCTATGTTTGGTTCACGGGAGGGGAGGGGAGGGGAGGGAATTTAATGGAAGGGAGGGGAGGGGAAGGAAAGGGAGGAAAAATAATTTACCTTGTTTGGATGGATTTTGTAGAGAGTGAGGTGAAGGAAAATGATTAACCTTGTTTGGTTAGAAGATGGAGGGGGAGGGAAAAATAATGTTAGAATGACAAATATATCCTTAATGATGTAAGAAAAAAAAATAAAATAATTCACAATAAGGTCAAAAGAGTAATTTGATGTTAAAAATTTTCCCTCCCCTCCAAATTCCCCCACTTTTGGAGGGGTGTGTATTTTCCCTCCTCCAAGGGATTTGAAGGGAAAATTTTAATCCCTCCCCTTACTTAAAATCGAACCAAACAAGGGAAAACTAAAAATTTCCCTCCCCTCCCTTCCCCTCCCCTCCGTTTCCTCCGAACCAAACAAAGCCTTAGTGTGTGTGTGTGTGTGTGTGTGAGAGAGAGAGAGAGAGAGAGAGAGAGAGAGAGGACAGAGGTGCACATTTATTTATGTGAGGCTGTGATTGAAGTGCCAAGAATTTCCTTTTCAATTATTCTAGAAAAAAAAAAAAAAAAGAAAAAGATTGAGAGGAAAAAGAGTGATCCAAAAAATTGTTATATTGTAGAATTAATTCCTAATAAATTGATGTGGACATCCCTCCTATATACTAATTCATATACTAATTCAAAACGTGTTGAGCTAGGTGACAGATTCTCACACTTCAGATGCTAACATGACGAAAATTTATGCTTCGTTGTTTTTATATTATTTTTGCTCTAGAGTTAGGTTGGTATTAGATATAAATAACTTTACACATATATTCATTAACTCAACACCTATGTTGTACATGATATTAATACTAGTATATATTTATTTCAAATAATCTAATATCAGATATTCGATTTGGTGAAAATGGCATTTCCAAAAGTCACATGTGGATGTCAACCCCACCGCACAATGCTTTTACTCTAATTAATGTGTGGCTCGTGCGATGTACGAGAAGACAATATTATGATTGTGTTATAAATTAAATATATAAATAAATCAATTAGGATTTAAAAATCATTTTTAAATTAAATTGTGTTGGACACAGTCCGACCGGATGGATCGAGAACTGGTTTATAATTAGTGTAGTTCGCTTGAATATAATATTTGATATTGAATCCGTCACCAGTCGGTTGAACTGGTAGGGTCGATACGGTTTTCGAAATAAATTTCGCTACAATTATAATTATTTTAAATAAAATTACATGTTTAAATAAAATAGAGATTTATAAATTTTTTTATCAATTAGTGTAAATATTTGAATTTTTAAATTGTTTAGATATTTAAGTAACACAGTTTATTTGAATTTATTACAAAAAGTACTAAATACATATATACATATATTAAAGCATATTTTTAAAGAAAAATAAATAAATTGTATGATTTTTATAAATTAAATTGTTTGATTATATTAAAGCGTATTTATAAATTAAATTGCATGATTTTTATGAAACAAATAAGAAAAATAATAAAACTACTATTTATGTGTTGCATTAAATATGTTATGTGTACATAATAAATGTACATAGAGTTGTACATAACACTCCAGTGCTACTATCGTGTGTCTTGACACACCTAGCAAGGTGTGCCAAGGTTTTTTTTTAAAATGAACATGTTACTTTATAAAATGAACATGTTACTTTACACATATTCATTTTATAAAGTAACATGTTCATTTTAAAAAAAAAAACCTTGGCACACCTAAGTATTTGCGATAACACTCACATGGAGTGGGGTCCATTTAATTTTTAATTTTAGGTGGGTCCACACTATGTGAGTATTATGTATACCCATATGTACAATATTATGTACATATAGCATTACTCAATTCTTTATAGTTATCGTAGTAATAGATATATAAATTTTATATGATGTGGACAAATAAAGCAAAAAATTAATTATAATTACTCTAATGCAATATTTTTAAATTTGGTCAAATTAATGTGGACCTCAAGTGAATAAGAATGAATATGTTGAAATAATATTTTTGTTTGTACTCATCTCAAAATGAATTTAAGTGAGACCTAATTTACTTTATCCCATCTCATATTATTTATTTAGACCTAATTTCATTTTGTTTGCATTTGAAACAATTTTAACAAAAAAATGTTCCAAATGCTATTTGCCACTAGACATTTTATAAATTAGACACAAGAATTGAAAATGTTATATAATTCTAAATAAATTTACCTGATTCAAAAGCTTAATTTCAAAACTGAGTACCCGTGTCAATTTCTAATAGAAAAAATGAAATATTTTATAAAAAAAATTATATTGTTCAACCATGATATCAAAATGGCATTGCTCAAACTTAGTGCCTGCATGTTTATGAAATAATTTGCTCAAAATGAGTTATTTTGATTAACTAGAGTTAAAATTGAAAAATGTGATATGGTTAGTTGTTAGTGGGATTTTAATAATATATTAAAATAATATTTAAAATAAAATAATTACTATTGATTTGATGTAAAAGTAGGAGATGAATGATTGAAAACGATAGATAGTTAAAGTTGGATGAATAGTGCATTAAAGTTGATGTGATATGTAAGAATAATTGATTTATAATATTTAACTATATAAATAATATTAAGAATAATGAGGTTGAGTTAGATTTTGAGTATGAAATAAGTGCGAGCTAATTATTTCATAAACAAGCATGCCCTAAAAATTTCACTGGTCGACAAAAGGTATATATATTATGCATATTTGTGTATAGATTATGTAATAAATAAAGTAGTCAATTTATATTCTCGTAAATTAAGTCGATATATATTTCCCACTATCTAATAATATCTTAGACGTTCAATAAGAGGTAAATATATTGATTAAAAAGTTTGGGAGCGTCAATTTGAGCCAAGAGTTACATAGTAAAGGTCAAAAATTTTTTCACCCTGTTATATTTTTATTTTTTCTTTTACACACCATCCCGTCAAATAATTTCTTTTACACCCCAAAATTCACGAAATGCTATGTGATATTATACTCGCATGTCCAAATGAACCAGCGCATATCCAACTGGACGCATAATGTATGACTATGCAAAAACATTTCACATATCCAACTCAAACGCATAATTTACAAATATGCGAACATCTTTCGCACTTTTAAGAATCGAATGCAGCATAATTTACGATGATTATGCGCCTTCTTTTCATATGGCTATATCGACCTTGTAAATTTATGACTGTGCGAAAACGTTTCGCATATAATTTGCATAATTTGTTGACTTCGCATTTTTTAGTAATTGAATATCCAAGTCAATCGCATAATTTACTAATATGTGGAGAACTTTCGCATATATCCAATATAACGTCGGATAATTGACAATTATGCAATACTTTTTCGCTCGCATATTTAAGAATTTGCATAATCAAATCGAATAAAGCATAATTTATTTGACGATTATGCGCCATTTTTTCGAAAGGTCATATCGACCTCGCAATTTTACGACTATTCAGAATTTGTTCGCATATCTATCGCATAAGTTACGCACCTCATTAATTGGCTGCTTTTTCACAAGTGAGGATTTTGTCTCTGCATTTATCATGCAGGTAAAAAGACAGTGATCTCTAACAATTTAACGTCTGCACCATTCATCTACTGCATTTTTATGTTTATTTCGTTTTAGTTCTTTTTGTTGTTCACTTATTTGAATCGCTAGCAACCGTGTTAGATTATGCGTGCACTATGGTTGTTAGTTTTCCCGGGGTTCATATCTTGGTGGAGTGGCAGAGCTGATGAGAATAAATTACGGTCGATAAGTGTATTCTGAAGTAGTTTCTCGTGCTCAAGCATTATTAAAGGTCGATCCTTGTAATTTTGAGTACATATTGTGGGCAGTATTTGATGGAAGGGAACGAGTTGTGAAGATGAAATCGAATCCAATGATGGTATCTTAGAGCTGTTTGAAGAAAAAGGAAATCCCAACATTTACCTGGAGTTGGAGAAGCGAGTAAATGTAGGGATTCCGGAGACGGCGCAACAAAGCTTCACGCAAATGATGACGTTCCAAAGTGTATTTTCTAGTTCTTTTGGTGTTGGTAGTTCTGCATTTTCCCATGAGGCCCCATATTCATATCAAGCAGACCCTAGTTTATTTACACATACTGGATATCCTCGGGGCGCTGATGATCAAACTGCGGGTTGTTCGAACCAATCAGGTCATTCTCGTGACGATGACAATAATGATGACCAAAACAACACGCACAATGATTATTCAAGCGACGAAGATAAAAAGTTCAATGAGAAGCAAATGTTCAAGCCTTTTGGGGTATTGCGAGCATATTGAAGAGCTAAGATTAATTACCGTCCATATTGAGGTTGAAAGTCTTGCATATATAAAATCCAAATAGCACACGACAATCCGACTTTGAGCCACGAATGTGGTCCCTTCCTATGTCGCCCACGACAATTGGATCAGATAGACAACTCATCCACTTACCCTCAAACAATTTAGAATTATATTTGGGGTATGTCTTGCTTTCGAAAGATTAGTTGATGTCATCCAACTTTATCACTTGCAACAAAAAGTTGAGTGTCGAACACCCAAATCCTGCATTTTTAGGTTGCTATCTATTTGTCGGTATGAAGGGTGTTCTTACAAGTTATGTGCAAGTAAAAATCGAAATGTATGGAGAATCACTACTTTGAAACTCGAGCATACATACGAAAGGAGTTTGAAGGACAATCAACATCGTTCGGCTAGTTCCAAGGTTCTCACTCATCTGTATGCACCAACTATTCAGACAAATCCCCAGAGGGTATCTACACAGAGAATTGTTGAGCAAATGCGGGAGGGGCATGGTTTGTCGATCAGCCATAATGTGTCTTCTCGAGCAAGACACCGTGCTTTTGATAAAGTTTATGGGGGTCATGAAGAATCATGGGGGCAGCTTCCCGGTTACTTGCACATGTTGTAGGTTCGTA